GCCAGATCACTTCACGACTCGGTAGTTTCTGCAGCACGAAGGACGCAGTGGATGCTAACCAAAAAATGGACAATAACGTTATTGGAAAGCATTCGAGACCAACAACCACCACACTATCCAAAATTGTCGCACAAATACGACTCTAATGGAAAATGCACATGGTTGAAGTCTCGGATGCCATGACAAATTTACGCCTCGAATCTCCATCCACACTAACCCAGTCTCGGATCAATGCGGACAGAAGAAGTAGGCTTTCGATCAGAGGCCCTACTAAAGCCCGTATTTGAAGGTACTTTAGGAGACGGTTCTATTCTGATTTATATGCTGTTAGCTAAGGAAACATATACTGTTAACTATAGGCATAGGTAATAGCATACACACCTGTTATGATCCGGACCCAGAGCAGTGTACTCTTCTTTGCCCATTTCCTGTCTTGTTGCTTGTAGGTATTCATTTAATCGAGCTTTGGCATTTTCCATTGACCAACCACCGTGAATATCAGCCGTTAGATCAACCTCTTCAGCCTATAAAAAGTCAGTGTGAATAGCATCTCAGTCTACCTCTTCCAATTTCTTCTGGTCGAAGATTCGGTTTATGTAATTGCTATTTTTATCTTGAACCGGATGTTCTGAATTTGCAGTCCACGAACTTCTGGTGTAAGCAGGAGCTATGGCTGATGAACTTGTTGATTCGCCTGCACCAGTCTCGCCGGGCTAAAAAAAAATAACAAAGACGAAAGAGAATATACCTTTTGCAGCGGTACAGCCGAAGCAGGGACATGACCCTCGCGAACCAGGAAGTTGGCGAAATCTCGTGCTGCATTGGTTTGAGCGTCTTTCTTTGATTTAGAATTCCCTATTCCAACGTAATTGAAGCATGGAACTCTTAGCTGTGAAAGTTGAAAAAAATGAATGAAGTACTTGTTACCTCACAAATAAACCGCATTTGTCCACGACCAGCAGGTTTCTGGATGAAAGTATATTCTGGTGCGATACGCCTGGATGATTGCAAGTAACTGTAAATCCATGTTTTAATCCCCTCGGGATCGGTCATGATTCCTAGAAAGAAAAACACTTTTAAAAGCACGGTTAAACTAAATAGAAATTTAAATCCAATTCAAAAAACAAACAATCCCGGAGATTATAGAACCCAGTATTCGCAACATAAGGTGGCGAACCACGAGATGTTGATGGTATGAGGTACGCAGCAGGATGATAGGGAAACTACAAAAAAACGTGAAACTATAGAACATGTATTACTTCTCGTTGAGCCCGGAATTTGCCTAACAAATACAATCAAAGTCTATGCTATCTGCACCAAACTACTAGTTGTGCTATTATCCGGCTCAATACGTCTAACCATCACGACGAGACTGCACCTTGACGTAGTGTGATGGCTTGTGTACCTCCCTGACCCAACGAGCTATTTAGGATGGCTTTCGTCAAACCGCAGATATAACCATGCCTGGAAGGTTAATGGGTAGAGGTCAGACAAAGTCCAGTCTCCTGGTCCTCCAGATTGGGGGTTCGACTGGAATTTACCTTTCAGTAGGTAAAAATGGCGGAGGAGTAATCGATTCAAGTAAATGGGCCTCCACTCCGCTTCACCCTTGCGGTGAGGTTCTTGTCAGAACTGAAGGCTTTGGACGAGAACTGTAGTGGCACGCTACCTTCACCCTTTGCCTATGACTTCTCTTCTACTCGCAACGAGTTTGTTTTATCAGATGCACTCTACCTGTTTACGCTCAACCGCGGAATTGTCACTAATCCCGGTGAGTTACGCTGCATCGCTACACGTATAAACCTTTCACTGCAGGTCTCGTCCTATAAACCGTTGGTCACGAGCTGTGTCTTCTTACTCGCTCGGAGCAATAGTCGTATTGCTCTTTACCTTACTCAGGATCGTCGAGGTAACTTGCGTTTAGGTATCGTAGTGTTAGCTATCTCAAGAACTCTAGTCGTTCTCCTGCTTAGTGGCTGGACACCCTGGCAGTACCCGTCCATCAAACCAAAAAATAATTCCATACTGCGTTGGTCGTCGAGCAGGATAATCAGGACCGCGCTGCCCATTGCATGGAGTGGGGTGGGCTACTGCTCAGATATCCCAACCTTTATTTAATTCTGTCTTCCGTACTCATTCCTCTCCATTTTACCCTTCCTCCGATCTGTAGTAGTCCCTCAAGCAACTTGGATGTCACCCGCCTAAGATCGTTGCCAAATAACCACGAAATGGATTGCAGAGCCTGAAGCCTCGTCAATCACTGATGAATAAGTATAACCAAATGGGACCTTATGCGGTTCCTCACTTCAATGAGGGACCAGTATATCTTCGCGATCACGGGGTTTACGCCATATGCCGTTTATGCATCATCATGTTTCACGTCTGAGTAATCCCAACGTGTGCCATAAAAATCACGGTACAGCGATTTTCACAAAAAGGAATTCGGCCTAGTATTTGCTCTTGGGTGGAATACTGCTAGGTTGCTCAGGTAGATTACTTTGGTGGGGCCATAATCACGGTGTTTGGCTTGCCGAGGGTTGGCCCGAAAGCAGCGGGCCAGTGCGTGAAAACTGCGAACCATTGAAGGTCGGTGTCCAGTTTATCAGATCATACAAACGAGGTCAGACGTCTCAGGAACCCTACGCACCCCATCATCATCGCACAGCAGAATACAGTGAAGTGAACCTCACTGATCAGTTATGCTCTCAATGCATTTAAGGTAAATAAAATAGATAGGGATTGGGCCTATTTTTAGGGAGGGAAAAAAGCGTAAATGCAAAAGAACTTTGTTCTGATTAGAGGTGAAGTGAGACACCTGAACGGATTGTTGAGAATATTTTGAAAAGTAAAAGCTGAACTATCTTGCGGAAACTCATTGGCTTAGTTGTTGCCTCGAAGTGGAGGTACTAAATCATCAATTCGCTACTGCACCTGGCTCAATCGCCCTCACACCCTTTGAAACCTATGAGGAAATTAACCTTATTATTCCGGGTGTTTCTCGAAGTCTTGGGTTGCACAAAGCTCACGGTCCCGATCGGTTAGCACCCCGTTTGTTAAAAGTATGCGCCGATCAGCTTGCAACACTTATTGTTAAATTGTTCGGTACGTGCTTGTCATCCGGAATGATCCCAGATGGTTGGAAGTTAGCCCGGATCAGACCAATCCCGAGGGATCATCAAAGTACCGATAATCCCCTGTTAATCAGTGTTGCTGAAAGCTTTAAAATGTTCTCCTGGACCGCATGATACTCCTATGTAACCCCAGTGACCCACTAGTGCCTACAAATTCCGTCTGTCCATACTAGACCATGTCGTCTATACTGTTCACTCTGTTACATCCGTCTTGGACAAAGGTGTAGGAACCGCTCGTTAGACTTTTATTCATTATGCCATCGGCTTTGGTCCTCTCGAGTGAAGGGTGCTTACTGAACTTGTCTGAATACACTAGATACCCTCGGGTTAGGCAGAGGTGAATGCTACCAGGCGCATCCCCGAGTTGTGGATAGGAGGATACCTTCACAGAGGGTTGGCTGTGAATAAGTTGTGGCATACAGCAACAAATAAGCAGTCGCCGACAAACAGAGGCGGCACTACCAGGGTGTGGTGGGTTTCCGGCTGGTCACCTGGCTCCTGTTTAAAAGCGATATAAGCCCAATGACGGAGTCGTGACAAAGGTCTGTGACTCGCCCTTCAAAACAAAAGTCATCGACTGCCTCAATTCCGAGGCGAGGGATTACTTCCTGCTACCTCGCAGGTTGTGCAAAAGCTGGAGGTGCGCCCTCAAAATAAAAAAACGCCTTGTGATGCTGGGGACGTCTCTTGTATCAAACTCCCAAGGAACTTCATGATCATGTCTGGAGTCGGCTCATCCTTTCCGAGGAGCCAGCGGCAGTAAGTAGTAAAAGTTTATGAGTGTAGTCTGATACCTGAAATTTCGAAATTTTGATCAACTGCTCTCGTAAGACTCAGTTTATTTCCTTTAATGGCACACAATTGCCTTGTATTACCTTCGATTCTGATAATTTTCAAGGTACTTCCCCCTTTCTTTTTTCTATGCACTAACAGAACCTTCCCATTTCCCGCAACTTTATTATTTGCACTTCGCGGAATGCTAATTTTCCAAGCGTGTCAAATAGTCTGAGGAGGAAGCTCCACTCACTACCTTCCTGTGGCAGTTTTCCCAACACCGTCAAGCCTGTACTTGAAGTCTGTTGTCGATTTAGCAGCAATTATTCATCCGGCAGCTTGTTCCAATCATTCACTATTCTAGCCGCAAACAACGCTCTCAGGCGGGTCATTCCTCTATCTTTAATCAGTTTGAAAGCATGTCCTCTCAGGTTTCTTCTTGTGACGTCCCAAGGCTCGGGTGGGTCTGTTGATACAGACAATGGGACGTGTGCCGGAATAGCTGTGAGAAACACAAAAAATCGTTATTCAATCTACTCGTAATCTTCCATTCTAACAGTTATGGATAGGGATTGAACCTATTTTCAAGGACGAGAAAAGAAAACGGATCTATATGGTCAAAACACAAAGAACAGTCCAACTGTGCATATATACTACTTCACGCACTATAGTCTGATAGGATGTGACAGCAAGATCGCCACTAATGTCGGTTCGCAGCCATGATTTTCATTGTCCCTAACCATGCGGATACGGAGTCTTTTGGACCGCAACCTGGAAGACGAGAGACACTTAATCCACCTAAGCACACTATGCATTTCTGTATGCCCCTTCTCCACGTCATCTGCTGGACTCCACGTGGCATCCGACCGCCTGCAACAGCCACTGCGAATAAGGCGCTCTGCGATAGGCGACCGTCGGACATACAAAAAAGTGGTCTGACCAATGGAGCCTATTGAGTTGGATTCGATGGGATAGCAAGTCCTTATTCGATGCATTCGCAAACACCCGACAACTTATTTCCAAGTTGTCAATCCGCTTACTTCACTCCAATTCGGCGAAACTAAGTACCGATTGTCAGAAACCACTGGGCGACGGATGTCTTCCCTCGCGAATTCAAGGTCTCAACCATAAAACAGAACTGATCGTACAGTGGAGCAGTATACGAGACTTCTCAACTTCAATGAAACGTCACCTCGCCGCCACAGGTGTTTAAGTCCTGCTTAAGCTTCTCGAGCCAAGGCAATGCGGGTGGTAATCCCCTTTGATGCGCTACCGACGTTGATCACGCAGTTACCAAGTTTGAGCAGTCAACTTCAGCTAATTCCCGACCGTCTAGTTTCATGACGCAACTCAGCTACAACCAGTCTTGCAGCATCATTTGGCACTTTCAAGGTGCAAAGCGCACGCCGAACGGAGCGACAGAACTTCCTAATCTGTCAAGTGATCTTTGTGCATCCTCCATACATTCGGAAAGGCAAACGATGTCGT